CTGCAATAAGCTGGAATGGGACAAAAACGAACCCCATCAAGAAAGAAGCAGGGGATTTAGCTCAGTGGTTCTGTGGCCTGCCTCACAAGAGCAAGGAGCAGAGTTTGATCCCTGGTCAAAAAGAAAAAGAAAAGCCACATCAGCAGCACCAACCTGTAAAAATACCACTGGATTTTCTCAAATGCACATAGGTCAGTTCTTAAAAAGATGCTAGTGACAAAAGAAAGTTAAGTCTGTTTCAACAAGGGTCCAGGGCTTAGGAATGTGCCATACAGTTATATATACAGAACCGAACTTATATTCTTCCTGCATCTCCAGGTAGAAGTATGATCTCCAACATTCTTACAGCACCAAAAAGTTGCTTTCCACCTGAGCTATAAGAAATAACTACAGGTGTCTGTAATGGACATCTTTGTGTATAAGATCTTTATTTTCACTTCACTTCTAATCACCTCCTTATCCAGAATACCAGAACAGAAGTCAGACCAAATGATAAAATTTTTTTTTAAATTAATGCTTTAAAAAATATTAATGCTTTTTCCTACTTTTTTTTTGGAGCTGGGGATTGAACCCAGGGCCTCAAACATGCTAAATACACAATCTACCCTCTGAAATACACACCCAGCCCTTTTCCCAGTTATAATACATATTCATTGCAGGATATTTAGAAAATTTTTTAAAAACCAAGATCTGGCTGTGATGACATACAGGTGTAGTCCTGGCTACTTGAGTAAGGGACTGAAGCAAGGATCACTTTAGTTTAAATGTTTGAGACAGGGCCGGGAATTTAGCTCAGTGGCGCCATTCCTGCCTTGATGTACCAAAGTCCTGAATTTGATCCCCAATATGGAAAAAAAAAAAGGAGCTAGCATGCTTTTCTTCATAAATGTTTGAGACCAATCTTCATAACACTGTAAATCATGGTCTCAAAAAAAAGGTAAAAACAATTCATGACTATCACAAAGTGATAACTACTTGTCACATTTTGACATATTTTGTTTCAATTACAAGTATAATCACAGTCAAACTATGACTGTTTATTTTTTTCTTCTCTCTGTTTTGTGGTGCTGGAGATTGAAGCTAGGTCTCTGTATGTGCTAGGCAAGAGCTCTACAACTGAACTACATCCCCAGAACTTTTGATTTTTTAAATTTTGAGACAGGGTCTAAGTTACCAAGAGTGGCCACAAACTTGCAATCTTTCTGCCTCAGGCTATGGAGTAGTCTGGATACAGGCATGCACCACCATACCAGGCTACAACCTGGTTTTTCCATTTAACATTGTGAAAATTTTCCCCATATTAAATGGGATATAGCATAATTTACCCAATCCATCCATTATAAAATAACCATCTAAATTATTTGAATTTTTCTATATAAACTGGATGTGGTGACAAGCACCTACTTGAGATGCTGAGGTGTGTCACTTAAGTTCAAGAGTTCAAAACTAGCCTAGGCAACATAGGAAGACCCCGTCTCAAAAAACAAACCAAAAATAGATTAAATTCTAACATATAAAATAATGCATAAAAAGAAAAAAAACCTATAAACAAGAAATCCTAACTGAAAAAAGAGTGAAATGGACCCCCAAAAGCTTGACCTTCACACCTATGAAGCCCAAACACCCCAGGGTCAAAGATCAATTTGTAGAAATGATCTGAAGCTCTCCTCAGAATCTCAGAAAGATGACAAAACTAGAATCACTGGAAATGAGGCACTCTTGTCATGCTTTTGATAAATATTCTTTGTTGGCAGGTCAGTTAAACAGCAGTCTTTCATATTACTTCTGAAATCACTAAAAAAGGAAAACATGACAGTTCAGTGTTGTAAGACCAATGGGCACCACCTGCCCCTGCACCCCAGAGCCAAGGCAACCCAAGGGGCTCAGTACTCTGGACAACTGAGATTCTTAACAATAAACAAGGTATCAAATGACCTTCACAGGACAAGACCCTGAGCCAAATCAATAAGCTGAAGGCAAAGCAGACAAATGCAAACACCTTGGGAAAGAAGTCCAGTGCAGCGGCATGGAAGGTGACCACAGGCTTTGCAGACCTTTGATGTGGCTGCTAGCATAGATGCCAGGCCCTTAGGCTGCATACAGGAGAGCATGTGCCTTGATGTGGATATGTCCCTGCCTAAGGAACCCTCTCAGAGTCCATGGCTGGGGCTGCAGACACCCATGGGAGACAGTATGCCCAGGCTGCTGACAGCCCATGCACCAGAGGACCCCTGCCAGATGGACATTGGACACTGCACATGCTGCACCTGGGAAAGGGACACATTGTAGTTTTTCAAAGCCTAGAGAAAACAACCTTATGGTCAACACTGGAACTGTCCAGGACTGCTTGGCCTGGCTATGGGGAAGCTGACCACCATGTATCACGAATATTACTAAAGCCTCTGTGGGTTGGCCTGTCTTTCTACTTCCTGCCTACCCTGGGCATGCCCCACACTCTCCTGCAGCCCACATAGAACTCCTCCATTCTCAGGCCCCAAATCCTGTACTGAAGGTTCTCACTTTTTTCTGTTCCATGTCTGCACACAGCAGGAGCATCCCTATGCTTTTAGTGCTTCTGGCCAATGACAGAGTAGATGTCTCCACCTAGACCCTCAACTCCTACAGGACAGATCTCAGGGTGGCTGTCTACACATGCATTGCGTTCTTGTGCTGCTAGGAAGGACAGATAGGGCACTTACAAAGCCTTTCACCTCAGAGTGGTTGGTACCCACTCAGAGAAAGTGACTGTCTCCTCATCTAAAAGATTTGGCCAAGGAGGCCTCCCTCTCTCTTGGGCTGGATGAAGCAACTCAGTTGCCAAGCAGAGAAGTAGATAGAGTGCACCTGGTCCCAGCCTTGGCTTCTGGAGAAGTTCCCACTCACCCACCTTCCCTATATCCCACTCACTCACCCTCTCCTTGAGCAAAGTGGGCTCTGAATAGCTGTCTTCCAGGACTTGCTCTCTCCTCCTTGATATACAACCTGAACAAATATCCTAGCCAGGCTTATCTGGAAGTCAGGCTTAAAGCTCAGCACAAAGGTGTCTTTGAGCTGCTCAGCACTCAGCACAATTTACTTCACCTACATCAGCATCAGACACCATCCAACCTTAACTCAGAGGGAAAAAATGTTTTATGAGACTATTTGTGATGATAATATTCACTTTTAATTTTTTGCTACGGGGGATCGAACTCAGGCCCTTGCACTTACAAGGGAGGCAGTAGAACCACTGAGCCAAATCCCCGGCCCAATATTCCATTTTAAATGAGCTAAAACAACAACGAAGTAGGAACGAGCACAAAGAAGTAAGTTTAGATTTAAAAATAAAGAAAGATAGCTGAGGGCCGGGGATTTAGCTCACTGGTTCTAGTGCCTGCCTCGCAAGCACAAGAACTCGAGTTCGATCCCCGGTACCAAAAAAAGAAAAAAGAAAGAAAGCTGAAAGTATAGCTTAGTGGTAAAGCATTTGCCTAGCATGCTCAATGCCCTGGGTTCAATCTCCAGCATGACAAACCATTAATGGTAAGAATAACAATAAAATAAAGAATGAATAGTATGGGACCAGGACAACCTGATAGCTACAGGTAAGCTTAAAAGGTAAAAGCAAAAAGGAACACAACTATAACCATCAAAGCTGTGCAAAGGGGAGGGACCAGGCTGCCCTGGAGAAGCCTGCTCAGGGAAGGGGGCAGACATACAGTGAAAAGGGAGTCCCAGAGAAGAGCTCACAAAAGCCTGTACTCTTTCAACTCTGGGTGTCCTTTTGCTTCAAATCTAGAACTTGCTCCTTCATCTGTCACTACTTTTGAAACTTAATACATCAGCCCCACTAGAAGAGGATGGCTTCAGCTCATCCTCGTCCATTACTAATTCACCTAAAGATCATGAGTAAAGCCTATGGTCTGAGTTCTCTGATTCCCAACTGTGCTGATGGTAACAAAACACAAAGGTAGACTCTATGGGCCACCTGGATGTTTGCAGCTTATACGATGGTTGACCTTTCCCCATCCCTGAACAGCTGCTGAGCTGGAGTAGGGCCTTAACCTGAGTTCTGCTTGCTTCATCTATCAAAGAGGATGATTGTTATCGCTACTCAAGCTTAACTTGTCTGACTCCTGTTCAACTAATCTTTGATGAAATTCCATAAAGCAAACTCTATTCCTAGCTCCATTTTATAAATGCAAGCACCAAGCCTTTGCCAGGGAGTGGTAGAACTGGGAATTGTCCCAGCTGCCTTTTAACTTCCAAGCTCTAACCCCTCCCTACAAGACACCTCCCCACCGCCTACCCCAACTTCCAGCCCACTACATTCCTGTGTAGTTGTATCAGACAAGATACCAAAGAGATTTCAGCCGCACACAAACTCATATGCTTCTCTTCCTGGATTCACCTCTTTGGGAGTCACTGCAGTTTCTGAAACTCACTCTCACTGAATTAAGAAGGGGAAACCTTTTCAATTCTAAAAGATTCTGAAGGCTAACCTGTGGGCTGCGCCCTGTTACAATTAACAGCAACAGCACGAAGAACAGCAGATTCGTGGTCTCCAGAGGCTCAACTCCCGCCTAGCTGGTACCACAGCATCCCAGGCACTTCCTCCAGTGCTGCTCAGGCCCCAGTCCCACCTAAGCCTCCGCCGGGCTGTTGGGCAACCTCCCGGGAGGAGGACGCACCGCGTGAGACCGCGAAGCACCCACTCGGCGTGGGAGGGAAGGGCTAGGAATCCACTGTAAGGGATTAGGGGGATACTGAGGGGACGGGGAGAAGAGGTGGGTACTAGCAGGGTCAGGGGACCAATTTGGGTAGGGGATAGGTGGGGGCGGGGGTGGAAGGTGCCAGAGATGGGGTACTGAACTGGGGAGAATGCTGGGGGACGAGGAAAGGGCTACGGGCTCCAAAGGGAGACAGGCCCAGGCTGGTGAGGTGCTGGGAACGACGGGGAGCCCCTGAGGACCAAGACCGTCGGGGGAGGGCCCGAACCGTGCCACCCGTTCGCCACTTACCCGCGCGTGGGCCACCACCAGGCTCTTGTTGCCTTCCCCGTGATACCCCCATTCATTCTCGTCCATCTTCTCCTCTTCCATGCCCCGGCGCGGCCCTGGAGGCTCGCGGACCGGGACGCGAGGACGAGAGCTAGAGGACGGCCGCCTTGTCGGGCTCCG